GATATATATAAATTTTTTTTTTTTTTTTTTTTTTTTTTTTTTTTTTTTAAACTAACAAAACTTACTTTTCTAGAAAAAGTAACTTTTAAACACAACAATAAGCTCTAAAAACTAGTTAGAACTCAATTTTGCCCGTGAAGAATGTAATCTGAAAATATGAAAAAGTAAATAAAAAAACCCAAAATTATCCAGGAATCAATCTCAGATCAGCTGCTGCGCAGCCATATCAAGTTCCAGTGATTAAATAAATTCCTTTCTTCCCAATTAAATTGGTAGTATGTTTTATTAACAAATAGCCCATTTGAAAACTACAATCAAATCGCACATTGAAAATCATAATTTAAGGTGTTATAATTGATCTCAACCGCATTAAGCACGATCAAACACACCCAGAGAGAGAGAGAGAGAGAGAGAGAGAGAGAGAACCTGAAGAAATGAGAGAGTTAATCCGTGCAAGAATGAGTTTTGTTGTTTTATTCGGTACAGCGACCCACTTAAATAAAAAATTGGCCAAAAATCCACTCACGCTCTAATGATGATAGTGGTCCATTGGGGTGTAAGCGGTCTGATTTTATCAATTTTTGACAGATTTTTAAATCAAACCGTTTAAATCGATTTGAGAAAAATTCAAACCTAAATCAAACCATTTTGAATGGTTTGAAAAAAACTCAAACCTAAACCTAACGGTTTAGTTCGGTTTTAAACCACCGATTTCGCCATATGTTTTTTCCGTCTACTTTTATGTCATTAATTCATTGAATTCAATATATATTTATATATTTATATATTACTAGCAATAAATCTAAAACAAACTAAACCCCTATTTGAACCAAATTTTTGGAACAAAAAAATGAAAATTTGGACCATTATCCCATAAGTCCAATCGCCTTTGTTGACCTGCTATTTCATGTGTGGGACCTAACCTCCTCTCCAACGATCAATTTTCTCGTTATAATAATATGGAAAATATGGCTCAAATAGAGGCTAAATATATCTACTATAAATTTAAATACCAACTAAATCAAAGAAAAATTACAATAAACTAAAACATAGTTTTTTTCATTTTTGTTCACATTTTTTAGGCTAATGACGATATAATAACGTTACAATATAAGTTTAATAAATTAGATATAAGGCCCAAAAATTATAATGATGTTCAATAAGACCTCGTGATCATCATATTTGAAAAAAGGATACTGACTAGACAAAGATAATAACAAACCACAATAATAAAACAATTGTTTATAATATCTAAACATAACGATTACACAAGTTTACGTTTATATGATGTGACGAAACGCATTTAATTTTAGATTCTTACCTTTGTTCCAAAAAAAATTATTAATCTGAAACTTTATTCATAGCAAACATTATCATCGAATGTCTAGGATCTCTTTGTCTCCGATTTGGTATAATAGATTACTATTCACCTTTGAAGAGGCGTGAAAAATCTGAAAAAGAAGTGTGTGGTGCTGGTGGTTCAAGACTGTATTGGATGTCGACTGGAGTTCATCTAAATTCTGAAGAGGAAAATGACTTTTGATAGATTATATTAGTCTTGAGATTATTAGATATATATTAGGATTATTGGATGATAATAATAATAATATATCTGTATTAAAAAATTAGAAATTGACAAAAACACCCACAAATGAAACTATTGAAATTTACATATTTGGATGAATTTTCAAAAAAAATTTATTTTTTCATTTTTTTTATTTTTATATATTTTTTCGCCGATCCGATTTGGTTTTAAACCGCAATTAAAATTCTCAAACCTAAACCAAATCATTTTGACCGATTTGGTTTGGGTCAAAACCATTTCGTTGACCGGGTCCATGTGGCACCAAACCGACGGTTTCTAAAATACGGTTTCGATTTGATTTTTCGGTTTGACGATTTTTGCTTACAGCCCCAGTGGTCGATAGGGTTCACATGTACGTGAAGTTCGACACAAAATCAAGAATACGCCGTAAATAATTCAACCCACCCATCTATCACGAGGCATATATGCGAGAGAAAATTACATGATTGGCCACTTTCATTTTTTAGATATATAAAAATGAAATAAAAATTGGAAAATGCCTTTTGTAGCATCTAAAAAATCTTGATTAACACTTGCTTGTAATTACTAAAAAAAATGATCTGAGGAAAATTTATTATTATTTTAAAGAAAAATGATAGTGTAGCAGGGTCATTTTCATACATCCTAACCAGACTATCTCTCCAAAAAGGGGGCCCACACCCATTTTTTAAGGACAAAAAAAATGTCCACTCTCTCATAGTATGGCCAGGATCTATGCAAATGACCCTGGTGGGCTAACATAGTCCTCTTTTAAATTGTTAAACGACAGTTTAACTATCAAATTGTTGAAAAATTTCACTGCATTGATGTTAGTTGGGTGGGCGGATAAAAACGTGTCAAATCGTCGATTATGAAGTGGGTGGAGCCATCGTGACTTTGTGACATATTTATCACTACTATATAAAAATGACAATGTTATCACTACTGTAGAAAGAACAGTACATTCTTCAATTTTCACACACTGTAGCAATTTTTTTCATCTCTCGAGCGAAAACGACGCCGTCTGCAGACAACAAAAGAAAAAAAAAACGTGCAGGCTATAGTGATGCACCCACTTGTTCTCAATTTAGGTAGATCTTTTTTTTTCTTCTCTATTTTCACACGCTACTGCCCGTTCTCTCCATTTTACCACGCAAATTAGCCATAACTCCTTCTTCTCTCTGAGTTTCACACTAGAGTGAACTATGATTGTTTGTTGTATATTTTGTATGGATTAATTGAGGTCTGGTTGTTCTGAATTTTAGTTCTTATTCTTGTTTTTATTGAAATTTGTGGACGTTCTGCAACTCAATTTCATTTAACGGAGTTTGATTGATTTTTTTCTTGCGTTTTGTGTGAATTGGTTTCATTTCAAATTTTTGATGTTAATGGTTTTTTTTTCCGCATCAAAATATAAAAAAATAAAATGAAATATAAACATATGGTGGTTTCTATATAAATGAATATAAAACAAATTTTTTGGTGGAACAATGAATCTATTTGCGTAATATGTGTGCAAATTTCTTATAAACATTATATTTCAATTAAAGAGTTTCAATGAAAAAATGATGTTGTATTGTTTAATTTTAGATATTTGGGAATCATTGAAATGTGGATGAAATATGTTGGTAAATAAGAAAGTAAATAGAATTGAGTGTAGAAATAGCAGAATAGATTAACACGAGTTGTAGAAATGGACAATATGTTACTGAAAAAGTCTGATCTTACTCTTCCCAAAAACAGAAGTGAGGAGAAAAAATTATTGAACTATTGACGTGAGTAACTATTTGATCTAACACGTTTCACACATTATTTAATTGCACTCAAAAGGTTACGATTGAAAATATGATTAATATGTCTATCATTTATCTATATTTTTATTCATTTGAAGGATTTATATAATCTCTGTATATATAAAAAAAATTGATCTATATTTTATGTATTTATTTTAGGAATCACGTTTATTAAAAAAACAAAGTTGATTAAATGAAATGAAATTATCGTATTGAGAGCCAGTGAAAGAAAAAAACGAAATTTGCGCCCCCATAATTACGGAGGCATTTGGCTCAAAAATGTTGAGCCTCCGTAATTATGGAGGCTCATGCCTTTTGACCCTTCGTAATTATGAGGCTTAACATTTTTGAGTTACGGAGGCTCATGCTTGAACCTCCATAATAATTATGGAGGCCTCCATAATAGCCTCCGTTATTATGGAGAATTATGGAGGTTTCCATAATAATGGAGGTTCAATATAAGACAGCCTCCATTATTATGGAGGCTTCCATAATAACCTCCGTTATTATGGAGAATTATGGAGGTTTCGATAATAATGGAGGTTCAATATAAGGCAGCCTCCATTATTATGGAGGCATCCATAATAGCCTCCGTTATTATAGAGGAGGCTCATGCTTGAGCCTCTGTAATTACGGAGATTCAAAGAAAGAAAGAGAGAGGAACTCACCCCTAGGCCATGAGATCTTGGGATACCTACTGTTTTAGACTTTTGGGATTTTCAAGTTCTAACTTCTGCTTTACCTTGAATTATTTCTTTATGATATAATAATATATTTATATCTACTATAATTTGTTAAAAGATGTACTACTATGGTGCTAGCTTTTTTTGCTTGGAATGCTTTTACTGTCCAATGAAGTATTTCTTTGACTAACTATGGCTTGAATTCTCATTATTAATGGATTTTATTGATTCTACAACTTTTGGTAGAGAAATGATATTTTGTGGAAGAAAGACGAGTGATCGACTCATATAATTGGTTAGTTCCTTGCCAATAATTTCATATTCCCATATATTTTCAAACATATTCAATACATACGCTAATCAAATCATAATTCATGCACAGCTCGTGCATCGTACATTGCATAGACAAGTATTTGGAAAAAAGTCTTTAGTACTAGGATTCCTTACCAAATTCATACGATGCAAATGTGGCGAAACCTAATTCACTTATTTTTTATTTTTGTTTTTTTTTCCATCTTTCAATGATTTCACGCCATGTATTATTTGACAAAATTTTTTGTACTTATAGCATTATTGATTATATTTTGACAGCGGCATATTTAAGATTTTAGAGAGGGTTAGGTTAATTAAATTGTATGTCATTGAATTTTCACTGTTGATTCGATTCCGATAATGTGCTTGCCAGAGTTAGCTAGCATGTCATTCGAAATTTGCAAAATGCTGACGTGTTCATCCTTGTAACGG